TTTCTGCTCTCTTTTTGCCCTACAGGTCCAGTTTGGTGTTTTTTTTTTTTTGGGGGGGGGGATTCCTGATGGTGTGAACCAGTGGGAGTCTTTCTTTTATGTCTTCTCTTTGGCTTTCTTCCCTTCTGATTGTTTTTTGTTTATATCCAATTCTGATGTGTTAGTTTTTGTTATATCTTATTATATTTTATATTATCCCTTAGAATCCCGTTTGTTCTTTAACAAGAGATGAAGGGGTAGAACCAGACAGGAGGGAGTAGGAAGGCTCTGGGAGGCGTTGAGGGAGGGGAGAGAATAATGAGGATATATTATTTGAGGAAAAAAATCCATTTTTGATAAAAGGAAAACACAAAATTATTTTTTAAAAAGATCAATTTTATGTAGCCTAGGATGGCATTGAACTAACAGAGATCCGCCTGCCTGTCTCCTGAGTGCTGGGATTAAAGGTGTGTGCCACCACTGCCTGGCCTCTAAGGCCAGTTAGTGTGGCTAGCTCCGTGCTCTGATCGTTATGCAAGCTTTGTTAGATCATGACAAACTATCATCACACTCATACACATACAATCAATCAATCTAAAATGTTTTAATAAAAACAAATGTGGAATAGAAAGCATTGTTGCATGGCTAAATGTTATTTTCTTAAAGAACATTTATTTTTACTTATGTGTTTATGTCTGTGTACCAAATGGTGTCAAACTTCAGCTCCTCTCCATGACTCCTTCAAACCTAGCGTTTCCACTATAACTGAGACTTCACCTTCCCCCACGGTCTCTCTTGGCCTCTCATAGTGCCAACCCTCATAGGGTTGTGCCATGACCCCTTCAGTCCTGTAACTTTCCAGCGGATGAAGCCAGGCCCACCTGGAAGACACACATTGCCCATATCAGCTGCCAGTTTGAGTTGCATCCTCAGTCCCCGTGGACCACGGTTTCTGTGCATGGATGCCAAGGAAATGCTTCCCTGCAGTATTTCATGGTATCATGTGCATATATGATATCACCTGGATGATATTGGACACAGCGAGTTTTCAGCCCCAGTTAATGTTACAGCATCGATTATTCTGGTGAATATTTTCCTTTGACATAGTCTTCATTCAAAATACATGAATGGCCCTGCTAAGTCTTTGCTTCGGAAATCTCGCACGCCAGCCCTCCACGGTCTGTGCCTCTACCAGTTT